ACTTTTATATTTCAAGTGATTCTCAAATCAAACTTCTTATTTGGCAGGCACTAGCCCTTAAACTGATTAGCTCCTTTTAATTAATATATTCAGTTTAACTAATTTTTCATTTAATACTTAAAATTCTTCTTAGTATTTTTTGAGCTATATCGCAGAATATAATTCTTAAAATAAATGAAAACTATAATTCTAGAAAGGTCATGCAATTTATAATTTTAATGTCCCTATTAATACTATAACAAAATACCATTAGATACATACACAATATAACTACAAAATAAAAAATAAGTATTATTAAAAGTTTTTTCATTAAAGTTTATTAGACATAGTCAAGCTGAAAAAATATTCACTAATATAAAATATTGGTAGGATAATAAGCAAATGCAAGAATATTTTCTATGCTGTAATTGTAGTTTGAAAGATTTCTTTTTTATAACAATTAAGAAATAAATTATGTTCTAGAAATGTTTAGATTTTTAAAATTTAAAATATTTAAAATCTGTGTTTGTAGTTCTGTATTTTGATATTCAGCAAATATTACAACAGAATAGAAAAATAAGTGGATAAAAATATAATTTACTTGGAAGCATATTATTCAGCAGCACTACAAAATATGTCTTATGAAATTCTCATTTTTGCTTTCTTCTGTATAAGAAGGAGAAAATGAGAGTTTTCATATGTGTATTTGTATGTGTAATATGTATTTCAATGTTAACATATTTGTATTAGGGTCTGGTATATTTATTTACTATTTAAACATGAAAACCAGAAATAAATCTGCTTTTTAAACTAATTCTGATAAGTAAAAATCAAGTATCACCAATCAATGAATAAATATTCTAGCTGACTAACCTAAAGGTTAAGCTTTGCAGTCCTTTTAGGTTTATAATGGCATAACAATGAACAATATGCAAATAGGATTCACCAATAAAATGCTCCCTGCTTCTGGTACACCTTTGAAACACAAATTGGTTTATTTCTAATAATAATAATGATAAAGTTGGAAGGGACCTTGGAGGTCATCTAGTCCAACCCCCTGCTCAGGCAGGAAACCCTATACCATTTCAGACAAATGGCTGTCCAGTTTCTTCTTAAAAACTTCCAGTGTTGGAGCATTCACCGCTTCTGGAGGCAGGTTATTCCACTGGTTAATTGTTCTAACTGTCAGAAAGTTTCTCCTTAGTTCTAGGTTGCTTCTCTCTTTGGTTAGTTTCCATTCGTTGCTCCTTGTCCTGCCTTCAGGCGCCTTGGAGAATAGCTTGGCTATAGCTTCTTTGTGGCAGCCCCTGAGATATTGGAACACTGCTATCATGTCCCCCCTTGCCCTTCTCTTCGTTAAACTAGACATACCCAATTCCAGTAACCGTTCCTTATATGTTTTAGCCTCCAGTCCCCTAATCATCTTTGTTGCTCTTCTCTGTACTCTTTCTAGAGTCTCAACATCTTTTTTACATCGTGGTGACCAAAACTGGATGCAGTATTCCAAGTGTGGCCTTACCAAGGCATTGTAAAGTGGTATTAATACTTCACGTGATCTTGATTCTATCCCTCTGTTACTGCAGCCCAGCACTGTGTTGGC